ATAATATAATGAAAACCAAACGGTGCAATGGAACCAAATGTTTAGTACAAAAATACGCGTTCCGTTGCGCGCTCAGTAAACTGGGTAATTTTACTTAATAACACCTGATCATAATCTGCCAATAAATTACCATAATAAGGTGCATGTTATATATCAAAAAAATCATAGTTATTGGGAAATTTATAGTTATTTGCTTATAAAGGCCAGGGATTGCTGCATGTATGTATTTTTAGTTTACAGTTTACTCTTCAAAGCTGTCAAAGCTGGACTAGGGCTAACCCTGGGTTAGAATTTAACAAGCTGTTTTGGTTTGCACTTCTGTTTATTTCAAAACTTTAGAAAATAGGGGGAAATGGTATAAAAGCTGTTTACAACCTTCGGAACTATTGGACGTCAATGGCCGCCATCTTGGTTTCATTTTCCCAGATATATATGAAGCTCATCGAGTTAACCTAGGATTAATATAATCAGCTTTCGACTGAACCCGACCCCTGAAGATGTTGTCAGTGATAAAAATTTGCGAAATAAGTAAACATTTTGTTCACTCGGCAATATTCCGTGGAAGTTCCTTGCTTTGCTAACACCCCTGGGGTGAAGCAAATGACGAACTGTCCAAGTTATAACTTTGGATTGGTAGGGATGAAACTCGCAAAAAACACAAGGAGAGCTTCGACGTTTCGAGCGAAGGGGCTTAGGTAGGTGCACCCGTATCACTCTGATGCTTTCTTATTCTTGGCACTGCCTACACTGGCACAGACAGTGTAAGATTATAATGTAACCGGTCAGGCTAAGTGCATCAGTCAAGTACAGTCTCGTCAAGTACAGTCTCGTCAAGTACAGTCTCGTCAAGTACAGTCTCATCAAGTACAGTCTCATCAAGTACAATCTCTTACACGAGTGACACTAATATTTATTAGCAAACAAATTCTGAAATTCACAAACAGTTTTACAATATTTGATAGACATAGAACCAAGCACTGCCTTCTTTAAGATAATGCTATTCGTAATATTTCGAGATCAGTTTCCATTTTCCCTCCACAGAAAGTTGGTTCATTTTTTCATGATATTGATATCGAGGATCGTCTGCAGCATTGCCATTCACACCAATACTCGCCAAGCCTCCAGGTTTCACCACGTGAACAAAATCATCCAATCCCTTGCCTTTCACGTGACCAGCAGTAAACACGCCCACAGAAATAACTGCGTCGTATTGGTCGGCAGCCACACCCAAATCTTTGCATTGATCAAATCCCATACGTCCTTGCTGTAGTGACCTGTATAGGTTTAATTTACATGTTGACAATCACAAATTAAACCAACGACGTAGCAAGCTTGAAAATTTGCTCCAAAATTTTCGGTCCATCGTTACGATGGATTGCGGCTACTAACGCGCGCCATGGCTCTCGGGAAGGCCGCTAATTTGGAATTTTCTGTAACTCATATTTGCAGCTTTGTTCCGGAGGGCTGCTACTATTTAGATTTTATGATATAGAATGTCATTTACATTAAACTTTCAATCAGAATTTAAGTTCCGTAGGCTATTACCGTAATTACACTCCCCCCACCCTCCTGGGCGAGTCAGTATTTAGTCGGTCAGATTTGAATTTGTTTAAAAATCGAGCAAATTTGCTAGGCCTAAGTCGCTTGGGAAAGTGTATTTTGTTGTGATAATAATATTTAGATATTCAGTCGCAAAAATAGGACGACATATTGAAATTTGTTTTGCTAAATTTAATTATAGTGCATGCGTGAGCAGTTTTTGATGTTATAAATCAGTCCTATATTTTTCTTTATTGCTTGACTTTATTTCTGCGCGTCCAATGTTGCTCCTTCTATTCACTTTCTATTTATCTAACAATGATAATGTCGGACAATTTCCAGCAAGGTTTGGAAAATTTTTGTCGCCCTTCCCCCTATTTATTCCGCCCCTAACCTATAACCACAAAGCCAATTCTTCACCCATCCCCAATTCCTCACATTCGTAACCAAGCTAATCCTAGTTACCCTGATACATTACGATGCTAATGCACATCATGCAAATCAAGTCACGGTAATTCATCCTAATCCTAAGACGGTGATTGTGCTTCTCCCAATGTTGACATTTAAGGTGGCTGGACTTAAAAAGAACATTTTGGTTGCCAAGCTTCGTATTTGTAGCTTTATGCAGCCGATATTGGGATGATCATATGTTTCAATGTTTCTTCTTTAAAACTACGTTCGATTTAGTAACACATAGTTTCGTTGTTATGGTGAAACAAATGCGTAGTAAAGAAATACGGCGTCCCTCAATTCTTGTTCGTGCGTTATTTTACCAAGAGCATAGAATAAAGATCCATATAGAAGGGCCACTTAACGTCGGAAGCTTTAAAGTTTCTGTCCTCGCGCATGTCGCATTACGCATGTTGGCCGCCATTTTCCTAGCCAGCCAATGACATTTTCTAGCCAATATACACGCTGTACTGGCTGGCTGCTCCGCCTTCTGGCCAGTAAACTGCATATTTTTGCATAAAAAACCACGTTGCACCGCTGAGTGGCCCTTCTGTTACTAATCTTTATTCTGTGTCTCGAGCATTGACCAAAAATGTCCATTTCCAACCTCGTTTCCAGGCTCTTATCTCTTGTGGAGGAAAGATCCTGGTTATAGGAGTTGGTCGCGTAATCTTCTAAAATCTGGCAGACTTTTAATTGATGCTGATGATATTCGGATAAATATTTGATATTTATATTTTAATTGATAACTTACATTTTGTTTTGCAAGCTAGTCTGATTTGATTTGACTTTAAAGAAATCCCAAGATAGTTAATTACCAATCCGCTAGAGTTCAGCAGATCATGCAACCAGGTCCTAGCATGACTGCATGGTCTTTCCTCCACAAGCGGTAAGAGCCTGGAAACGAGGTTGGTCGATTTCTTCGATAAATTTGTTTGACATTACACAATATTTTAGTTTTTGGTATCATGAAAGTCTTATGCAATACAATACCGAATTTAAAATTTGAACGTAATTCACCTGACAAAATATTTTTTAACGAGGAGCTAGCAATTGACATGCAACATACTTTAGAACACATGCTGTGGCACGAGATAGAGATGGCAACTCGCCACGTCAGGTCAGTTTGGAAGTTATTTCCTTAATATTCCTGCGCATTTAAATTGTCACGAAGGTGTGTTCATTATAGCACAAAGTTTTATTTTCGCAATTCTTGCATTTTGTGAGGATTAATTATATATCGTGCCACCTTTATATGTGTACATTCATTACCTATAAGTGCCTTTTGCTTGGGCGACCTTCAGCAGTTCCTGACTGAGATCTAAGCCATCTACATTTTTATAACCACGCTTGTGTAATTGTTCTCCAGCTAAACCAGTACCACAGCCGAGATCTAGAATACTGACATCATCTTTATATCCATATTCCTTTAGTTTTTGTGTCAACTGCTCCGCAGCTACAGCTGGACCAATGTAAGCTAAGTCATGCACATCCTATGAAAGAAATATGAAGAAAAGTGATTAAACTGAATAGTTGAAGTGAACTAAACTAAACTAAACTGAACTAAGGGGTAGACCATTAGATATCTAATGGGGATGGGGAGGGGTTGCGTAAATTTAAAAAGATATGACTCAAAAAAATATTGAGCAAGCATTCGACTCAGCTCTCACCCTTACACAGTTATCATGCGCAAATAATTACAGAAAGGACAAGAGAATTCCAGAATGCTGTTATTATTAAATTTCACTACGACTGCATCAACAAACGCGGCTATGGCCATATCATAAAACGCATGTCGTGATTTAAATTATACATAATCTTAAAAAATTCATTAATAATTCACGAGGAAAATACAAAAGAAATGAATGTTTGATCAAAACACATTGATCCTGATGTATAAAACCTTAGTGTTACCTTACTCAGACTATTGTAGTGAGGTTTGGGGCTGCCTAGGTAAAACCCTCTCTGAAAAACTCCAAAAACTGCAAAACAGAGCCGGTAGGATAATAACCTTCTCCGATTATGACGTAAGATCAGCTGATATACTACACAGTCTTGGTTGGGAAACTCTTGACCAACGTCGTGCTAAACAGCTCGCAACAAGTATTTATAAAGCAGTGAATAATTTATATCCCAACGAGCTTCATACTATTTTTGAACCTACCTCGCTAGTCCACTCTCACAATCTTAGAGGTAGTTCGCACAGTATGTTCACCCCTAGACCCAGAACGGAGGCTGGTAAAAGGAGCTTCGGCTACCGTGGGGCTGTGTTATGGAACGATCTTCCGGATGAAATAAGAAGTCTGGCTTCAATATATCTTTTCAAAAATAAACTTTCTAACTTTCAAATTTAATACTAAGATTAAGTAGTTGTAAATAATGATAGGATTGTATATATATTTAGCTAATTTCTTTTGTTTTTGTATTTTTACATGGCTCCTTGGAAGAGCACTTTAGTGAAAGGACACCATGTTACCTATTTATGTATTTTTTTAATAAAGCTTCATTGAATGTTTCTAAATCGGATAAAGATTTGTCCCGATTTACATAAACTTCAACTTTGATTTTCAGGCGGCTGTAACTATTTTTGCCTGCATTGGGGGTGGCCTGCCGGCCTCAAACTGAAAAGAATATGTGAGAAGGGGCGACCCTAATTTTTTAATGTTGAAAACATATTATAAAACAAAAAAGTTACTATAATTACAGTATGTTATTTGTTATATGAAACAGTTCAACTCAAATACATCTTAAATAGCATTAGTCTGTCTTATGGAGGAACTTTAAACTTATTCTTAACTAAAAATTAACTTTAATGTTAAATATAAAACAATGCAAAAAAGTTCACCATTCAAAGGACACCTTTTGATATAATTTATAGTAACTGATTTAATAAAAATAGAACTTTGTAACGGATTAATTGTTGGAGAGGGGGGTCCCAAATTTTCTGAATGAAGGTGGGGGCGTCTTGACAATCAAGGTCTTTAGATTGGGGCGGCCGTCTAAAAAATGTTCAATATTTGGTATTTATCACCCACTGCCACAGCCCTCCAAATATTCATGACCAGTCCCTAATTTATCACTATTAGTTTTCAGAAAAGCATTTAAACAATCATGCGTGCACGTTCAAATCATTGTTTGAGCTGCGTATTGGTCAAATTAAAAATACTCATTAAAACATGAATTTTTCAATGACTCAATGAATCAGGAAAGTCATGTCAGAACGAGGAAATGCTATTTCAGAGACCCAAATTTCCAGTCAAAAAATTTCCGTGCAGCATGGCCCCGGACCCCTAGGAGATGTATCTGTCTAGTCAGGGGCGTAGGAAGCATCTAAAAGTTGGGGGGGGGAGCAGGCTTTGAGGAGCACTTTTCGAATGAAAAAGGGCACCTAAAATTTTTTTTCCAGTAATGTTGGCGACGAGAAAGGGGGGGAGGTCATCTCAAAAAATTTATCAAAATACAAAAACAAATGCAATCATAAATCAAAGGCCGTTGAGAAAAAAATGCAGTCTTAACGACATTTTTCACGGAAGTAAAGGGCACTTTGCTCCTGGAAAAAGGGCACTCTTGAAAACTTGGGGGGCTGCCCCCCCCCGGTTCTTACGCCCCTGTGTCTAGTAAAGTGGACATCCAAAATACTGGATCTGTCCTTTGACACCATCAACGATTAGTATTGCCAATTTGTGCATAACCCATTGTTAAGGATTGAAATAGCTCAAATCACGAAGTATATTATAAAAGGCTGTGGCTTTCGGTATTGATTAAAAGTTTTCAGAAAAAATATCGTCCAAGAACACAGAAATTAGAAAACAATTCACCTGCAGAGATGTACGAGTACAAAAAATATCGAGCACCAAAAATTCATGCAACCCCAGCCCCATCAAAAATCTAATGGTCCACCCCTAAACTAGACTGGACAGGACTAGAGGAATTATTAACTGTACAGTCAATCTGTTTATCGATCGCATGCATTAACATGATAATAAAATTAAGTTGATAGTATAAACAAAATAGTAAGTACTATATTTTAAATTAACATGAAAATGCAACGAAAAGAGTGTTGAAACGTAAAATTGGCCAGAAAAGTAATGTGTTATAGCTATAGTTAAGTTACTCTTCAAAGTAATTCAATCCTGGAAAAAATTAGTAGACTTCTTAAATTTTCAAACTTTATCCCCCTCCCCCCTTATACAATGTTGGTATTTAGGTGACATGTGTTGCAAATCCACTTTACCTGAACCAACATTGTTTCGGGGGGGGGGGGGGGGGTTAATTTAAAGTAAATAGTTGCTTTAATTGAAAAATGCTCACATTTTCATCATATGTTTCCAAATTTGGGTGTATTTTTCGAAAAGTCTACAAATATTTTTTCCAAGATTGTCTGAAAAAATACAACGGATAATCATTTTACCAAGTTAATTGTTCAGTCGTTTTCAAAACATAATTTTCAAATTAAAAAGGACTCTATATTAGGAACATAATTCAGGGTTTGATTAAACTTTTTGAAAGCCAGGGGGGTCGGTAGACGGGGGGGCTTAATGTAGGTGCCCATGTTTTAAGGAAAATTGTGATTAATATATCCAATAAGGCTGCATTGACAAAAAAATATGGCAGTTAATGACAAAAAACTATCAGAGGGACAGATATGGCATATATAGAATATTACATTGTACAATATTTCATGACCGTCACATTTTTTCACATATTTTGTCGATCATTAAAATTTTATAGTGCAGAATTGTACCTATAAAGTATGTTTTAATACGGTTTCAATATGCTTTTATAACGCATGTACCCGTGATTTTCTCAAAATTAGTGCTTTTCTTAACGAATATCTTATTATTATTTAATAAATGTACAGTCCGAGTAAAATCACAACAAATTACATCATGTTACACCACATGTTACAGTACATGTTACACTAAAAGTTCTATATTTTATTATATATCCTGACATGTTACAACATGTTACACCTACCTTTAAAAATATCTATAGTCCCTTTTAAAAATATAGGTGTAACATGTAGTAACATGTCAAGAACTATAGTAAAGTATAGTAATTTTAGTGTAACATGTAGTGTAACATGATGTAACATGATGTAACATGTGAAGATTGAGATTTGTTCTAACCTATAATCGTTGAAAATGTGCATAAAGAACTGAAAACCTTAAAAATAAATTAATTCTGACATAATTTAAGACACAACCAACCGATAAACGAGCAGAAATATCTCTTAGTTTATTTAACCAAAAGAACTCAAGAAATCAAGCAGTTATGTGTATTTTTTGAAATTAAATTCGCTTATTTTCTGGAGCAAATACTAAGTAAAACATTTTGATAAGGGTGTTAAACCTAGAGGATTCTAAGTTGAAGCTAATATTAAATTTACTATACATTCAAAAGTATAAAAACATTTATAATCGTGTCCAAATTCAACGAAATTGCAAGGATAACCCGAGCTGTGGGCGGTAATATACGCCTATTTCCTATAATCGTACCGTGGGAAGTCTCCCCCCCCCCGGAAAATTGTTTTGGGAGTCTGTTTCTACTGACATATGTGCCACTTGACTTTCATAACAACATAATAGAATAGAAAATTTTATATGTCCAAAAAATTTAATTTCTATCCCTTAAAGGTTAAGGGTTTGGCTTAATTCAGAGACAATCCTGGAAAAAAATTAGTAGACTTCTTAAATTTTCAAACTTTGTCCCCCTCCCCCCTTATACAATGTTGGTATTTAGGTGACATGTTTTGCAAATCCACTTTACCTGAACCAACATTGTTTCGGGGGGAAGGAGAATGGTAATTTAAAGTAAATAGTTGCTTTAATTGAAAAATGGTCACATTTTCATCATATGTTTTCAAATTTGGGTGTATTTTTCGAAAAGTCTACAAATATTTTTTCCAAGATTGTCTGAAAAATACAACGGATAATCATTTTACCAAGTTAATTGTTCAGTCGTTTTCAAAACATAATTTTCAAATTAAAAAGGACTCTATATTAGGAACATAATTCAGGGTTTGATTAAAATTTTTGAAAGCCAGGGGGGTCGGTAGACGGGGGGCGGCTTAATGTAGGCGCCCATGTTTTAAGGAAAATTGTGATTAATTTATCCAATAAGGCTGCATTGACAAAAAATATGGCAGTTAATAACAAAAAACTATCAGAGGGACAGATATGGCATATATAGATTATTACATTGTACAATATTTCATGACCGTCACATTTTTTCACATATTTTGTCGATCATTAAAATTTTATAGTGCGGAATTGTACCTATAAAGTA